ATAACATTCTAGACACCTTTTGTCTGCCTATTCACCTTCATGGATTGAAACCTAGTCATTTCCTAGATGATTTGTTAGAAAACCCACTAAAAAAAAAATTGAAGTTTATGATAGATCAGTATGTTTTATCTTGTCTAAAGATTTTCAATCATCTAAATGATGAGCAAATGATAAAGAATCTTGTCTAAAGATCTTCAGTTGTCTAAATGATGAGCAGATGATAAAGAAGCAAAAGACTTCAAACAACAAGAAAAGGGAAAAGAGGACAAAAGCAAGAAACAAAAAGTTACCGACCTAAAGGGTAGATTGAACAATTTCAACCCAAGCCCTAGATATTGTCACGCCCCAACCCCAAGGTCAAGACGTAACAAATGCCACACATCTATAGGGATGACCCCATAAATGTGTAAGGTTACCTTAACTAAACAACTTTTAGTGTCCAAATGCAATAAAATTAAATTCTATAAGAAACTCCATCTTTATTAACATGTACGAGAAGTTGGTCAAATCCAAAACACTTAATCCTTACTTCATAAAATCCAACATAAAATTTAATAGCAATAAGTCATAGCAAATAGATCTTCAATTCTAATTATTCCACAATCCAGAATAACTTAAACTAAACCAAAGAACTACTCTAGAATCGTTGTGCCTCTCACTCCCAAATGCAACCCCAAATGCTTACTTGTCTGTACCTGAAATGAGATGAGATTTTAAAAGCATAAGCTAGACAGCTCAGTCAGAGTATACCTATCTAGTTCGATCAAGCATTGTATTTCAATGAAATAATAATTAAATAAAGTAAACAACTTTTCAATAAGGAAACCACATTCCAAACTAGATGAAAAGAAACAACAATTTCAAGTTCTTTAGGCTGCATCACATTCCAAATATAGCATCACACTCCACATCACACTCCATGATAAATAGATCCCGGGACTACTATCAATACCCTCAGTATACCCCTGAGGAGCAGGTTAATTTATCTAGGCAACCAAGAACATGAAAACCCAATATCAAAAGAAAAATTATTTCCAATTTAATAAACCACACTCTTCGATAGAAAACAGTCCACACTTAAAATGCTTGATCAACATTCATCTCATTTCATTATAAAATATTCTTATTCTTAAGACATAGTAACAAAATAAAATTATATAAAATACGCTGAAAAAGGTAAAATAAATTTCAATAAAACAAACCTTTTAAAAATAATACTAGAGGATATAACAACTTACCTCGAATAATTAATCAATTTTTCACTTGACGCTGCCTCTTGAATTATTTAAAACTTTCGTACTATCTTCCTTGTTAGAATTGAAAAGATCTACAAATCGTAGGCCATATTGCTAGAATTGAATAGTAAAATTTCCTCAATTCGACTAATTCGGCAATCTATCGGACGGAAGCCCCTTTCTATGCTTTCACAAATGAGCGACAGCACCTTCAGAAGTGGGCGGCAGCATTCCCAAATTTCTGCCAACCCCTAGCCCATTTCCTGTTTAGGTATTTGTGAGATAAATGAGGGCCTAATGAACAAATATTGAGAAAAGCTTTTAAATTCCATCCCCACAATTCTTTTAATCATATAAATCTAAGTTTAAGAAGGCAAATTACCTTGGATTTAGTCTACTATGGCCAAATCCCTAAGTCACGTTCCCATTTGCAGGCGGAAGAAAGGTGACGATCCTATTTCCCCAAAAAGAAAGTGAGAAAAATGAAACTGCCGACTCACTTGATTTGGGGCTTTTACAAAAAGGAAATATTGTTAATTGGTCCCTAAGCTTTAATTATAAGGTTCTAAGTCCCTGAGTTCCTTACATCATTATAATTTCAACCCCAAATTTAATTCTATCACATATACACCTTCTAAGAGCTTAAAGAGCTTAAATAATTTATTTAAATCTTAAGTAAGAAGTCCTTGGGTATTACAGATATGTAAATGACACTTTGCTGTGCTTGTCTAGGTCATACATTTTGGCCCAAATCCAACATAAAATAAAGTGATCAACCTCAATGCCATTGGACCCTGCTTGAAAAGATAAAAGCAAGTACTATGAGTATCACTATGACTATGGCCATTATATTAAGGACTACCAAAATTTGAAAGATGAGCTAGAATTCTTAACTTGAAGTGGGAGGTTAGAGGATTATATACAAAAACCTTTCCATCAATCGCCTAACCAAGCCCACTTTGTTTAGGATTATAGTTGCCATCAAGTGCCAGGACACCAAATAGGCATAGGGTAAGAGGCTTGTCAGGGAAGTTCATTCTCTGCCGAGGGTGATAGAGCTTTCAATGGCCGTCACAATGGCAGGAGAGGTCAGGGGCAAAGAACAAGTACATAAAATCAAAAAGACAATAAAGAAGTGATATATACTAGAATTTCACTATCAGCAAGCACCATAAACATGATTTTTGGAGGAATGTATTCAGGTGGCCAAAGTTCTCGAGGTTGGAAGGCTTGTGCTCACCAAGTGATGACACTGAACAAGAATAGATTCCTCCTCTATTTCCCCTTCTTCTCATGCCCTCCTCCAAGATTGGCTGTGTCACGCCCCAAAACCCAAATTCGAGGCGCGACAGACGCCGTACACTCATGAGACGGGTCCCACAAGTGCACAAGGCTCGGAACTTATCATATCACACTCTGATACCACCAAAATCTGAAGATCAAATTATAAAATTCTCTTTGATATCATAAATCTCCAAATACACTCTGGTTTACAAGATCATGATTTACTTCTAAAATCTATATCAATCTCGAAATGGCTAGCTTTCTAACTCGTCATTTCCTGTGGTTCCCCGTCCTCGGTTTCACTTCCTGAAATGGTGGACAAGGAAAAACTATGAGATAAACTCAGTAAGTAAAGTATGGAGTGCCCCTTATTAAACTTATAGCATGCCAACAAGTGCAATCACGAAAAACGGATACAGTACGGGAACGAAATAGACGTCTCCTCTATAGGTCACGGCCAGTGTTATAAACCTCCCACTGATAGGCTACAGAAATTACTAGTGTTTAACCCCCACTAGTAGGGTTACAGAAACGAACCGGTTCTATCAGTAACATGTCGACATGTGCTAGCGTTTATAAACCTCCCACTAGCGGGCACACGAATAACATGACCATATCGGAGACAAAACAGGCTGAATTTAACAGGAAAATCACAATTCACAATCACTTTCAGATCATCAGGATGGTCACTTAAATTTCAAGTAGGCATGCTCAATTTAATGAAAAGCATAAAACAATTCACTTCAAATCAGTCATACTTGTGTAAAACGGGTTTAGTCCCGCCACCACTTCAAAAACAAATCAAAACATGCTTATAAAACAGTACGGGTATTACCATAAATTTACTTACCTCACTTGCATAAAACCGAGCACTCAATTCACGTACTAAACTGACAGAACGATCGGGAACCTAATCAAAACACCTCAGGATTAATACCGGACTATCACAAATTCAAGGTAAACTCATCATTAGGATCATTCCTAATCACAATGCTATTTCCATAAATCTCCACATTATCAGATATCTCCAAATTCGTTCTTATATCACAAACTAATCACTTAAATCCCTGTTAATTGTTGGCCCTCGGGGTGTGAACAGTAACCGATGAACAGTGCCGGTGAACAGTGACCCCGACGTGAACAGTAACCCCGACTTTCACAAATTGGCCAAAACACTAGCTAATCTCACGGGATTTTCTCCAAAAATCACATAGCAGTCCATTAACACTCAATCATATAAATTCCACTTGAATCAAGCTAAATCATGGTCTAATTACTATCAATTTCATCCCCATTTTTCTAGCAAAATTCGGACACACAATAGGGCAGCAATTGAAAGCAAATAAATGGACAAATTCGGGGGCTTGGAGGGCTGCCACATACCAGAATTTTCCAGCAAGAACCGGACCTAGCAAGGGGAAGAAGTCGGCGGCAGTGTCAGGAAGAATCACGTAATCTACCCAAAAAAAATGGGAGGAACAAGAGCAATTAAGGTTAACCCAAGCCAATTCAAGCAAGAACAAAGGAAATTAGGGGCTGTTCTTACCGAAAAAATGCCCAGAAATCACCCATACCCACTAGCAGCCGGCGGTGAAGACAAGCAGAGCAAGGCAGATCCGGCTTTTCCAGCAAAGGGGGAGAGATTTCTGGGTTCTAGAAGTGTTCTAGAGCAAGAAAAGAAGGAGAAATCCAAACTTATCTCACCAATTTTCCAAGGCATGGCTGGGTTTCCCTTTTTTTTCTCTGGGTGGCTGCAGCGGGAAGAAGAAGAGCAGAATCGGGAATGGCTGGGAAGAAAAGAAAGAAAGAAAAAAGGAAAAGAAAAGAAGTCATCCTTATCCAAAATCTTTCCCTCTTTAAATCCCTCAACTTTTGAAATATTCACATTAGGCCCCAAAATAATCTTTTCTCACAATCAAGTCCTTAACTCACTTAAATATTCCCAGAAGTTTGGGATATTACAGGCTGGTGGTGGTTGCCTCCATATGAGTAGTGTCTTGTGTACCAGTTCACCTATCGACTACTTCCCTTCCAACCGAACTGGTGGTTGGCTACCCCCTGTTAGGACGAGTTGTGTGTAATAGACAAAGGTGTAGTTTTAGGGCTTACCGGTGGCTTATGAGTAAGGGCTTTTTAGACATGTAGCTTGGGCCTATAGCTTGTGAGCTAGATCCCCTTTGCCTTGATTGGGATTGTTGATGAGCTCGTTTCTATTGCTCTCTATGACATTTAGTTCATGAGTGGTTATCTCTCTAAAACAAGTGATTATTACTAACTTGAGCATTGAAATGTTTTTCTTGAGGACATTTCCTTGGGATTTTCAAGTGCTGTAATAGTGCAAGAATTCAACAATGTTAAAGCTTGTGAAGCTGCTCAAACACTTTCCAAAATCTCAAACTCCCTCCATTACCTAAGTTTGCTTCAAATCCTATTTTAAGCCAACCCATTATAGTAGGGAACCTATCATTAATTGTGCAATGTTCTTCCACCACCTTGAACCTATCTCCCTCCACCCTCACACACCCATTGCAACCAACTTTTCCCCCTTCTTGTATTTCTCCCTCAAAACCTTTCTTACTATATAGTAAAATTCTACTATATTAGGAAAACTATTTAAATTTTTAATAAATCTCTAATAAATACCCTATAAATTTTTTAAAATTCTCATTAAGTTTTTAATAATTCTTTAATAAATTCTCAATAAATACTAAAAAAATATTTAGTATATCTTTTAAAATCTTCAATAAATATCAAATGCATACCCAATAGTCTTTTTAAGATCCAAACTTAATTTATTTTCAATAATAATCTTTCTTTTTAATATAAATTTATTTAAGTCTAACTTTACCTACTTCAATTATATTTCAATATGAACTCAATTATATTTTCAATAATAATTTTTCCTTATGCATTTTCAATATTATATTTTTAATAATAGAAAACAAGTATAATTTAGTAGAAATTCTAATCATTGTATGATCTTACTATATTATGAAAATTATTAAAATCTTTAATAAATCTTGGATAAAAACCAAATGAGTCTTTTAAAATCTTTAAAGAATATTAAATAAATGGATACTAATTGGTACATACTTTATTTCAACACACTACACAATACATTTATTAAAAAATATATTTTAGTTTGAAAAGACAAAAAATTTAAAGATATAGCCACACATAAA